TCCATGTAATATTAAGAGGTCTGTCGCCCCCCTTAAAGTTAAGTGGGAAAAAATCGAAGAAATGTCCCTCTTACTAAGTGGGACCGGGCTTAGAGTGTACCTAAGAAAGAGGTAAAGTTAGAGAACCTCCACCTGATCTCGCTCACGTCCTATTTAGGGAAGGCGTTTTAGAGGATGCTAAATCCGAGACTGATGAGATACACAGACGAGAGGCAGCAACTTCCGAACACACAGTTCGGGCTTAGACCACACACGTCTACGCAGGTTGTGCTGCTGTGGATGTATAAGAAAAGTATAAAGGACCCTCAGAAGGGACGTACGCGATGTATATCCTTGCTGGACCTGAACGTGGCCTTTGATAATGCTTCTCACGAAAGTATCTTCCGGGAACTCAGCCAAAACAACTGTGGTAGGAAGACGTACGATTATGTGTGAAGTTTTCTCTCGGGGAACACGGCCACACGCACGCTTGGGAACATTATATCTAAGACTTACGATGTGGGCCCTAGGGACACACCGCAAGTTGTAGTTTTCTCCCCTCTGCTCTTCAACCTCGCCATGCGGGGCCTACTTGGAGCCTTGCGGACCGTGCCGCGGGTGGAACACGCAATTTACGCGGATGATATCACTCTATGGTGCAAGGCGGACAGTGACGGGAAAATTGAGGAGCGCTTGCAAAGGGCGGGGAACATTGTGGATGGCTTTTCAGATAGTGAGGCTTGCGTTGTGTTGCAGAGAAGTCCGAGTTATTGATTCTTCGAAATCCGAGGGACAGATTTTGAGAGCATAAAGACATAAGGATAGGGCCATGGTTGTGCCGAAGCCGGAGGGTGTGCGATACTAGGGCAGCACATTCAGCAAGGCAGGCGGAACAAGCCAACCCTGGACAGATTAGAGACCATGACTTCGTAGGTGTGTTGTATGTTGAGGAGGACTAGGAATAAACAGCATAAGACTAAGGAGAAGGAGGCGGTCAAGCTCATCCAGGCTTTCATTATCTCCAGGTTGACTTATGGGGCTCCGTATTTAACACTTAACAAAACCGACATGCAGAAGCTTAATATCTTTATGCGAAGGGCTTATAAGAATGCACTGGGGCTATTAGAACGGACAGCCACAGAGAGGGTACACAATGTGGGGGTACATAACAGCAATGAGGAGCTCCACGAAGCGCAATTGATCTCTCAGCTCAGGAAGCTTGAGAGGACGACTAAAGGGTAGTTGGCTTTTAGAAAAGCTTGAGTTGGCGGTGCCCGGAGGCTCTCAAGAGGGGGAGGAAACCGGGGGCGCAATGGATTACGAAGTCAGAAAAAGGTTTGTCTTTAGCAGAATTTTTCGGAACATGTACCCAGACCGGGACGCAGAACAGAGACAGGCGCGCACCGCAGCCTTGTCTCGGTCTTGGGACAGCTGGGAAGGCACGCTATACGTAGACGGGGCCGGTCCCGTGTCGGGCATAGCGACAATTGCTATGGCGGATGGTCGGGTGCGCGTGGTAAGGATCGCTTCGATTCGGGTGCGCTCGGCGGAGCAAGCGGAAGAGGCGGCGATTGCTTTGGCGATCGTTGCAACTCTAGGGCTACGATAATATCTGACTCTCGAAAAGAATGCAGGTATTAGGCTCGCGGTATACTGGGGCTACCTCCGATGAAAATCTTAACTAAGGCTAATACCGAGGGAGTTCATTTGATCTGGGCTCCAAGCAATTGGGGCGAACGGGCAATGAGGCCGCGAAAGCCGCTGCCCGGAACGCGTTAAACCGGGACTCACTCCATCTCCAGAGACATCGGATTATGGACTATCCTATAGTAAATTCCTGAAGGTTAGAAGGAAGGGTAGGATGGAGTTTCCTAGGCCTAGCAGGGAACTGATGAAGGAAGAAGAGTTTGTGTGCGAAGACTGAAAACGGACACGGTTGGGACACCAGTACAGCGGCATGTGTGGTACCCGCAACGCTTCGCGGAACCGAGCTGTCCCTTCTGCGGGGCGCACTAGGCGGACATTCACCATCTGGCTTGGGTGTGTAAGAAGATTCCAGGACTCGTGCCATTGTGTGATCCTACTCTTTAGAAGTGAAAACCAGGGATGAGGGGTTGATGACGCCTGCAAGCAGAGACTGTTCGTGGGCCGTGCTCTGCAAGCCTTAGCTGCGCTTGGAACCCCGGAATAGTGGTACCAACCCTTCTCTCGCCATCTTTCCTTTCAGTCAACTTCCCGTCCTTAACTTTCTTGAAATAAAAGTTTTTCAACAACATCGCCGGAGATAATTTTGATCTTTGATTGCTTCTTTAATAGGGCAGTCGGCTGCGCAATGTTGTGGTTTATAGATTTCTAGGATGCTTGAGCCCACAAAGTGGGTTCATAATTAGGCGATCCCAGAAACCTCCTCAGGGCACCTCTAAGGGGCTAAAAAGGGTTTACCATGAGACATGAAGCTGGTTCAGACACTTGTGACCGCTTGCGACGAATGCGTTAGGCCTCATTCCCACAGCCGGCGTCTCGCCCCGTCCCGGCGAAAACGCCATCGGCGCCGTGCCGAAAACGGGATGGTGCGGGGACGGAGTGTTCGAACCAGCGGCGACGGGGCTGCCAGCGGTCGCTGTATGAATAGATGGATGCTGGTGGCTGTGCCCCCTTATATTGGGCGGTAGCTTGCGCCACCTAGCTTAGAAACCTTACTGCACCTTTCAAATTCTGACTCGAACTTTTGCATCCCGTAAGCCTGTATAACCCGTATAACCTACTAATTACGTGCGCAATTTCAAGCTTCCCTCGATCTCTACTACCAGTCTTGTAATCCGTATTTGTGACTGCTTTGTGGCGGCGTCCACCAACAAATGTAGCGGACGATCAGCGTCGATGGGCACAGCCACAACTGTTTTGTTCCTTGGAGCTTGCGTTCGGGTCGCTGATAACGATCTTGCATGTTTGATAACATTTTATTTTTCTCCACCTTTCGAAACAAAAACGACAAGACCCACCGCGAGCACGTTCTCTATGAATCACTCCTTACGCCACATTTCGCCCTCGATGATCGACGACCGTATTTTCTTTCTTCGGCTGTTCTTCCTTAAAATCGCATTTACGTCGATCGTAAAGGAACCGATGTGGTCTCACCATTTCGAGCAGCAGCTCAGAGGTAAATCCAAATCTCTGTATGACCGTTGTTGAAGAGCCGTAAACATCACACAATGCGTCCGTCGTCTCGCTGGCCTCGCTCCTTCCCGAAAAGAGCTTTGTTAACTTCGTCGTTAGGGCGTTAGGGCTCAGTACGGTCTATTCCCGTGCCCATGGTATCCCAACTTTCGAAAATCCGCCAGATTCAACGAAAGTTTCTTATTTTGTGATTGGCCGTTCCTCGATGGGGTGGGACGCCGGCTTTCCCGGTGTCCCGCCGGCGCCGGAGACGTAGGACGTCGATGTTCGACTCATTTCGGCTCCGGCGGCTCGCTTTCGGTCGGAAACCGGTCCCAAAACCCTCTCCCCCGGCGGAAAGGCCGCCCAGCGCGTTCGCCGGGTCGGAAAAAAAAAAGGCTGTGTTAATGAGGCCTTAAGACTCAGGTAATCTCTTACGACGAGAGGACTCACTGGCGTCATCTATCGGGTAACTGTGCAACACTGGCGATTCTCCTAATTCCCCGTTTTTTTCCCTCATCATTTTTCACTTTTGGCTTAAACAACTTTTTACTGTCTTATAAACACCAATTAATCGTAAATTGGACGTAGATTAAGTCTCACAAATGCTGCTGTTTGTTTTGGGTTGAAGGGAAAGGGGGAAGCCAGAATATTGTGCGTCTTTATTGATGGGACCAGTTGCTACTTTCCTTTTGAGTGATTAGGGTGAAATGAGGAAGAAAATAGTAATGCATGGTATATATAAAGTATATAAAAATATAGATAGTCCTTCGCATTAAATGCCTAAAGAGTGTCTTTTAAAGTGCTGCGCGCTATCCGGACTACCACATGCCAACAGCCACGTAACTTTTAAATCCCAAAGAAGGCAGGCCAGCAGCGGAGAAAGCTTTTCGCGCTCTTCTGCGCTTTCTTCGTAAGAGTGGACTCACAGACAGACTCTGATCCAAGATCTAAGACGTTATATCTTGCCAATAGCTCTGAACCATATAAGATACAGAACTGCTTGACGGGCGTCTTGTCGCGGAGGCTGCCAAACCTTCGCTCTAATGAAGTGCGGCTCCAAGGCCGGCTCATAGATGGCGCCCACGTGCCAGCGTGTTGTCTGATCATAACATATCGCAAGAGGTCGGCATGCACAGTTTTGTCGGCTTTCACGCCGTCAAAATTGCGCGCCATGGCAAGCAGTAGGTTACTTTAACCACTGATCGCCCTGATGGCAACACACGAATACCCAGTACGGCTCTGTCGCTAGATCATCGAAGCATCCAGTTCTTTGCACATGATTCTTTTTGATTGTTTGGAGAAGTGCGACTCTTGTCAATGAAGCTAATTAGAAAGGTGAAACGCAGTGTGACCAGGCACGTGCAGTAGAGACTTCGTTGTGCGTTCTTCTACGCTAGGTCTAGCTATTTGACATGTTCTGACAAAACGCAAATGAGTGATACGACGTGGACCAGAATAGAACATTATGCATGTTTAGTCTCATTTGCCAAGACAGATTTCACGTCTGTGTTACATCCTGTATTTCATGAAACGTCCGGTCCCGGCCTTCCACCCCACCGCGTGGAGTTGGGGTCTCCCAGCGGCGACTCATCCGTTCCGACATCCTCCTCATTTCCGAACCCGTAATGACGGTGTGCACGTGACAGCGAAATAGGGCAATATCGAGCCCACGTGATCGCGGAGAATGCTGTGGCGTCATGCCTTTTAATCTTCGTGATTTGACATGTGGACGCCGCAGGAGGCGCTGCTCCAACCGTTAGGAACGAATAAAAGCGCCTTGCGAGAAGAGTGGGGTCTGTCGTCGCCGCCCTCGAGTCGCGCCCAGTCTCGCCGAGACGCTTAAGATTCCCGCAGGAGCCGACATGCCTGTCGACTTGTACGATTCGACCTTCAGCTCACCATGCACTCAAGTGCGCATGCTGGCCAGGCACATTGGAGCGGAACTCAATCTCAGAGAAGTGAATTTCACCAAGAACGAGCATCTCAGTCCCGAGTTTTTTAAGGTAATGCCCCTTCCTTCGGCAGGTCTCCAAGTTAGGTTAACAGGAATGCTACAGCTGCACCGTGGTTTCCGCGCTAACGTGCTACATTGCTGGAGACTGTTCCCGCACTTTTTGCTTTTAACTTCGAGAGGATATGGGTGGCACCAAATTTTACAGCTTACGCTTCCACCCCAAATGAACGCTTCCCATTACATCGATAGTTTTACTCATCACATACGTTTCTAAAAGAAAAATAAATCCCCAGTAATTTTTTGTTTGTGCTAAGAGTGTCACTTGGTGTACATAATCTATTATACATATTTGCATTCCTTTTCTTTTCTTTTTTGACTAGCCTGTCCTTTTCTAATAAGAGTTGGTTTTTCTTACGGTTGAGGCCAGTCTAACGGCATGGCGCTCCAAAGTGCTCTTCCTGCTTCATACACGTCAGCGAGGAGTGTTGTGCGAATGAATTGCGGGGTTTACTCCAACGAAGCGCCTTATGAGCGACAAATGCAGGGCGTTCTCTTTCTTTAATCTGACTTCTTATTCGTCGTCCTTATCGGCCGCCCACTCATTGACTGTGTAGTGATGATGAGATGCCTGGGACACGCCCTTCCTAAGCTGTCAGTTACTATAGAACTCCAAAATTCGCACTAAAGCTCATTTTGCGTCTAACGTGGTATTGCGATGTTTTCTGCTCACTCGCAAATACGACTAGCATTGGGCGGTGACGCTATCTTTGCATTTCCTATCCGCGGCGAGAAGCTCGCGAGGGGCGCTTCTGGTTTCCACACTATATATGCAGTGCACGTACTACCCATTAGGTTATGTTTTAGTTTTTATAGTGCCTAGAAGCTTGGCATTGCACGTGATTGCACCAGCAGAGGAAGTTGAAGTATCCTTTAAGTTGTTAAAATATTCCACGAGGTGGCGATACCCAAACTTGACCTTAACGCGGAATGTGTAATTGGCTCGTGTTCTAAAGCTTTCCACGCGCGCTATCCACTTATCGGATTTCTTCAAGTAGCAACAAGAAAGCTATTTGATTTTTGGTACCAACTAAAAAAAAATCATCCGTTATTTTGTGTCCTAGAATCATCGTTTATGCTTTCTGTTAAAGAAGTTTTTTTTTGTTCTTTCGATATTGTGTTGATTTTAAACGGCGGTTCAGATGACATTGTGTTTTTGTAATATTTACACAGTCATCGTTGGCATGACGTTTTGGCTACTTGAGCACCTTCTAAAATCAGCTTACGCAGAAAAGCAAAAGAAAGTGCAGAAGAGTACCCTCCGTCGCTCTCGTACTTGTCACCAAATATACATACGTACTTGTTCATTTATGTTTCTTAAACGAATGCAATATAAATGTTTTATTAAAACAACATGTAAAAAAAACAGTTGTCTGGGGGACCCTTACAAAAGGCATATTAAAATCACTTCCCTCAGCAAAACAGACAAATGTTCAGTGTTTTACTATCGTAAGTTTCCATATCCCATCAATAACATAAAAAGCACTGCAACAACCCAGGCAACCATATCGCATTACATCACGTGACAACAAAAAATTGTATAATATTTTTTTTGGACAGAACAGGTAAACATAAAGTGATAAAAAATCATTTTGTAAACAATTCCTTTTATCAGAGACAGAAATTACACATTCATGTTCTTCCTAAATGTTTGCGTTGACACACCTCCTTTAATGATGGTCATAATATGACGGTGATAATTTAGAAAGTCGGGTATTTGGTAATTTTGTTTCTACATGCCGATGTTTGTGAGTATTTTTACTTTTGTACAGCTGGTATTCTGAAAGTGTGTGGACGATCTTTGAAAAGATAACTCTGAAAGAAAGCAGTCGGTTCAAACTTGATTTGATTATATATGACTTGGGCCAATTTCTTTTAGATAAACTTTTAATTGGTAATATCAGTTTTTTTTAATTAAAAGTGATGCAGAGTGAAGGCCCGTTCACATTCTTTCGACCTCTTAAAACTGGGTTCCTTAAAACCTCTTACAACGGGAGGACACATTGGCATCATCTATTGGGTAGCAATGTAAACTTGGCGGTCCGGCTTATTTTCTATTTCTCTCCCGCATTATTCTTTCTTTCTTGGCTCAAGAAACTTTTGTCAACGTTATAAACGAGCCTTTATTATATGTATTATGCACATTTGACCTCGGAAATCTCGCAAAGCCCTCGCTCTTGCAAAATGCAGTTCCAGGGTCACCGCGTAGATGGCGCCAGCGTGCCAGTGTGCTCTCTCGTCTTAAAATATTTTAAGAGGTTTTAACAACTCTTGTCGTTTTATTAGACGTTAGACGAACAAGTATAGCACTTGTTCGTCTAATGTAATTCAAAAAGCGCACATTAATCGCTTACTCAACGGGTTTAAAAAAAATGGTAGCACAGAAATTGGTCTATAATTGTTTAGGTCATTTTGATCTTCTCCTTTCTGTATTACTGACACCCTCGCAATTTTTAATTTATCAGGAAATATATCAACTCTCGGGGTTAGAGTACATATAAGTGAGAGTGAGCGGCTAATGAGATGGGAAACTGATTTTATAGGCTGAGATTTTATGGCATCTTCATCGCAAACACTAGTATTCTTTTGTTAAATCTATTGGTTGCATATCTCCGAGTCTGTAGTAGGAAACAAAAAACAAACAAAAAAATGGAAATTTCAATGCTAGATGCAATGTAAGATATGTAGTTGGAACTACTCATGGCACCATTATTCGCAGCACCAGACACCAAAAAGTGGGCGTTAAATATTTCGGCTAGTCTAGTCTCGGCGCAAGGCATCCCTTCAACTGTAAGCTCAAGACGATTACTTCTTTCGTTCTTGGACAAGAGGTTTTTTACCGTTTTCCGCACCTTCCTGGTATCAGCGAAAATATCTGGAAACGTATTTTGATAATAGGTATAGTCGTTCTTGTTTATTTTACCGTTTTCCGCACCTTCCTGGTATCAGCGAAAATATCTGGAAACGTATTTTGATAATAGGTATAGTCGTTCTTGTTTATTTTACCGTTTTCCGCACCTTCCTGGTATCAGCGAAAATATCTGGAAACGTATTTTGATAATAGGTATAGTCGTTCTTGTTTAATTTCGGAGCCTAGTTGGTTCATTATTTTCTTAAATTCAACGGGATTGCCCGGACGTCTTGTTTTTATAAAAGTGCGTACATCCAATCACGTTGTTTTATATTGTAAAAAAAAAGCATGGCATCAACTCAAGACTTTCTTGAGTTCTTGTTTTTTTTCAAAATTCAAATAGAGGAAAGGTTTTTTGATAAAGCTCTTTTATTCTTATTGAAAACAGGTTGTATGCTGGAATAGGGTTGACCAACTGAAGAAGGTCATTCCCAATTTGTTTCTTCCACTAACCTTTGGAACAACATAGCTTTAGCCTCATTAATGGGTCTCTAGATAAGGGATCTGTATTTCGATGGCCGTTTGCGCTGCGTTTAATGAGGTGTGAAAAACATAAAAATAGGCAAGTGGCCACTAAGATCCGTTACCAGTACGTCCACTTTCAATTCATTCATTTGACATTTCGTAAAACTCAAGTACAGATGTCTGGGACACATCAGTGACCCTTGTACGTACATAAATTACGTTCACATAACCAAAAGAATAAAATACAGCAAGTGGTTTTTGCCTGGCTGGGTCTGCGGACATATGTATATTAACGTCCCAGAAAATAATAGTATGTATACCGATTTGAGAACAATATTCTAGCATATTTTCAAAAAATCTAAAAAATAGGTTACTATACCGTATTTTTTACCAAATACTGTAAGCGCACGCTTAATCACAAACGATTCATAGTGTGGCCTTATTTTTGAGTATTATGAAATGTCCTGGAAAGGTTCCTTTACATATCCTCCTCCTCTCATACTGTTTCGAGATACCGATGTGCATCCCTTAAAGCGAACAATGTCGCAGTCATGTCAACAGATTCATGTTTATTTATGAAACTACGCGGATTAAACTGTAGAAAGGAAAAGTGTGTTTTTATCACACATAGAATTATAGTGTTTGAAGGATTCAGAGTCGTGATAACAGGACTTTGAAAAATAGTATGTCATATGTGAGATTGACACGGTGAACTAACTGCGATTCGTTTTCAAGGGGTCAGCTTATCGCATCTTATCCAGATCTTCTGTCATACCGATTTTGATGACTCGGCCACCAGGACCTCGGTGTACGAGAATTTTGCCATACTTTCGCCAGGCAAATTTTTATTCGTTTTCATTGGCTTCCGACTTCATTATCCAAAACAGGTTCTGAATCTGTGGTGTGAGGTTTCCGTTTATGTATATTATCGATTTTGCTTTCCTGAGTTCACCCTTCCTTCAGAGCGAATCGTCTGTAGTTTGGTGGGAGGAGAAGCGAAAAAGGACAGTAGCAGCCTTCTTAGCTTTCGAAGGAAATCGGCGAAACGCCTTCGTATCCGTTTCGGGAAGTTGCGGAAGCTCGAGGTTTTTGGTCCAGGCTGTTTGATTTTTCATGTAGGTTTTAATTTACATGTGGGGGCGAACCATGCACCTGCAGATTTTGCCGTCTGCTGTATTGTTCTAACTCGTTTCCTTGTTGTTTTAGCTTCTCAACTTCTCGCTCCTTAACCGTAACCTTACGTTTTGGCACATGTTTTTTCAGGCCGAATATGTCGTGGCTTTGTGCTTTCATTTCTGCAAGTACATCGACATATTTCCTTGACATTTCTTGCATCGAGACTTGGATGCTGTCAACTGTTTTCTTGATGTCCACCAAAAGTATATTCTTCCGATTTCATTTTTAGCATCTCCGAAAGTTTGTAATGAATCTCATCAATTTCATTTGAAAGATTCACTGCCGGAGCATCGCATGGTTTGGCCGCGCTCTGGTTGCTTGGCCCCTTCGGTACTCTGCATGCTGCGCACTTCCATGACTTTATGCTGCACCTGTTTTCTTTTTTTTAAGTGTTTTCATTTAATCTTGAACACGTCCCGATATGATAGTTGAACCCGCGCCCTATACAAGATAAATAAACTTAATCGTTAGGAAGTGGTTCATGGCATGCGAGAAGTCTGTTCGCCATCGCTTTGGAGTAACAAGTTCGTACATAGGACACACTTCACTCAGCAACAGCAGCAGCTAACAAAGATGGGCTAATACATACAGAAAAAAATACTAAAAATTGCGAAGCAGCTTTTAGGAGCCGAAAAACAGACACCGCGATGCTACTGCTGCTGAGTGCGTGCGAAAAAAAGTTCCCGACGGCAAGATCCTTCGGTAGAATTCGAGGTGGTGACGTAGTGATCCAAGCCAGTTCAGGGTCCGATGGTCGCCCAGGTATACGGCGCTGCAGTCAAGGTCTGACGCATCAACTGTAAAAATTAGAAGGCAGTTCTTAGGAGCCGGCCTACAGACAGCAGGATACTACTGCTACTGTGTGCGTGTGAGTGATTATTATATCTGAATGTGGTTATTGATCCTCCGGTATGGGAGATTATATATGCCTTTCCTTGTTAGTGGTCATTATAAATGTTCGTGTTTCCGTGCGCAAGTGCAGAATTAGTTTGCTTCAGGACAATGAACTAAAAATACTCTGACAACTCTACTGCAATGATGACCTCCTGGAGATGCAGGATAGCCGTAGTAAATGGTTAATAAATTAAAAATGTTTATTCTGTCTCTTGAGCCTTTGTGATCCTGTATCCCCGAGAAGTGTCACACACCACATGACAATCTTCACCGTCCTTAGTTACCAAGTTATGAACAATTATATGGTCCTGCATTACGCATCGGTAAAATTGACGAAATTTTCAGTTTTCATTTTAGTTTTCACCGATTACTCAAAATCAATTTAACTGCCGTACTTTTTTTGGTGCTTTTAGGTGAATACCGAAAATATAAACAAATAATGTAAGTTTTGAACGAAGATAAAAGCGATAAAAAGACGAGTACAATAGAGAAGACGAATACCGCCGTTCCTCACAACTGTATTTGGCGCTTTTTGCACCAAATACAGTTTTTGGCGTCTTTTAGCGCTTTTTACCATGGTTCAAAACGTTCATCGCCAACTAGCCCAGCAACAAGATATTTTACAATAATGTAAGCCCCGCTGTTGAATAAACTGCTAAATCTGATGACGAATCTTTTCCAACTTTCAGATAAACCCGTTTCACAAGGTGCCCACGCTCTGCGATGACGGATTTGTGGTTTACGAGAGGTATGGCAGTCTTTCTTTGGCGACGTCTTTGGCTATTTTGTGACGTGACGCTAAATTGCGTTACGCATTGTTTTATTGTTTGTCAAAAATCATTCGGCTTAAGAAACGACAGCGTCAAAGTCCCAGACGGAGTGCTCTGTATATGCCGAAATATATGTATACCCGAACGTTGCAACGATTCTTTTTGAAGAACATCTGACGTTATATCGGCTTCAAGAATGGTCCGAGATTTAACTGTACTGGCCTTAATCCTGACGTCAATACTGGTTGTTAATTTTTTGACGAAGCTATTCAAGTACAGTTTCGAATGCTGCTTGAAAAATCCTTCTTCAGAAGAAATCAAATAATAGCTGTTAACTTCTTGAGAGTTGTAATCTTGGCCACTTATTATAAGTTCCAAACTAATTCCGATATTGTGTGTAAAAAGCACAATGAAAACTTTGAGTCATTGGATTCCTAAAATAACACCATTAATGTTGACAATCTGACTTTGTTCTTATTTCCGCGGATTGAAGCAGAAATATTCAAAATAAACACAACATAATCAGCGTTTGGGCAACTTTTGAATGTCGCCCAACAGGACGCTTCTGGTCACCCATGTCACCAATTTCCCCTCCTGTTTCGTTTTTGTTTTTCAACGTTCCCCTTTGAGTCACTCTTTACTTCCTTACTTTTTTCTTTACCTTTTACTTGTACTTTTACTTTTTTCGGCTGTTACACAAAGTGGTTAACTATCACCAGCTCGCCTGCAAAATCCGTTTTTTTATACCATATCTGTTAAATAATGATGTCCCCTACAGCCTCATGATATGGTGTGAGTAATACACATCAGAGTGATATGTCACTGCGGATTCGAGGTGTGCTGCCATACCATCCCGACGTTATTCTCATGTTTTGCACATAGTTCTGTTCTGCAGTAGCGGTATCTGGGTCGTCTGACAGCACTTTTAACTTCCAGTAAGCATCTCTCTAAGTTTCGGGTCGTATAGTCACTTCAGAACAAAAAAAGGATCTATAGAACCCAAAACCTTGTGACTTGCTGACTGAAAGTAAGCAAGTCACAAGGTACATGAATTGTGCCTATGGCTCTAACTTACACAAAAATTAAGCCATTTATTATGGAGAAATAAAACAAAAATATGAAACATTATAGACCATCAGAAATCAGCTATATTACCAAAACAATCCCCCCCAAAACCCGTCACCTGCCAGAAAAAACCATTGCCAACCAGACCACTCTCAACACAGCTAAAGGCACGAGGAAAAACCTCTAACCTGACAACAACGTTTGTGATACATAATCATTGTACTAGTTAATTAACATGACAATGACGGCAGGAGACTTGAGTGGTCGTTATATTAAGTCTGTCAAACAACCTTTCAAAGATTGAGGCACCCTTTAGCATACTTGATATTGAACATCCAGAACGCTCCCATTAGATTTCCTAGGCCTTCGGTGATGTTAATCGCTCCAAAGTGTTTCGTTGACTCAGCATGGACGAATAAATTTTCGGAAAGTTCTAGTTCGTCTTCATGGAACACAACAGAAGGCAGGCCGCATGGAGTGCGCCTTCACTCTGTAGTACGAGCAGGAAGCAGTCATAAACAACAAAGACAGATACTGGAACACAGGAAATGCAATGCATTTTTGACATTTGCGAAACTTCAATTATAACTTTCACGAAATGTGGCATTCAGAAAATCAAACATAATTATTAGGCTAATGCCTCAGTATATTTAACTTCAAACTGCACGACGGGTTATGAATTTCAACTGCGAGAATGGGCCTCACTATAGAGAACTTGCCTTTTTTCAAATTCATTATTAATTCACTAGGCCATTTGAAAAAAATAAAAGGTTTCGTGCTTATATATGGGCGACCTAGATTTTACGTATGTAGCAGAATTTAGAACTAGAACTTTGGCACAAATGAACTGCAAACTGGTGTCTGACAAAAAGTGTGATTTTTCATCACCAAAAAAAAAACGACAAAAACCAAAACAAAAAAACTTTGCATCGCCAAACACTTCGTTTCAGCGGTTTGGACCAGAGTTTCAGAGCTTGCCGTTATGTAGTCTAAAAGGACCAAGTGATTTTCATAAATTCAGAATGAAAAAAATGGGCCCGTTTTTTGTAGCCAACACCATTTACCTATATCATTGACATGCTAAAACTAATTCAGCCTTTAATGGGAATGTTGCCTTTTTTAGCGTTTCTTCGTGACGCACATTTCATTTATTTATTAGGTTAACTCGCAGCGCCTAGTAGGCAATATTGCGAGGAGGGTGGCGCTGGTTTAACTGGCTTTAAAAGTAGTAGCGGGGATTTACGCCGATATAGGGCCTCCAAGGGCGATACAGTCGTGCTTCGTATACTTGGCGAGGCAACCAATTCAATGGCTGGCTCGGAAGGCGGCATACCAAGCACGCATGTCCCAGAAACTTCAAGTCGTATCTCGACGTAACGTAGCTAAACGACACTGTTTTCCCCTCATTAGAATATTCTAAGCTTGAATCGGAAACATAAACAGCATCACAGCTTCCTTACTAAAACGTAAACGAGTTCTTACTGACGTCGAGTCAAAGTGAACCACGGACTGAAATATCGCGAATGAAGATGCCCAATTTACCGAGCGAAGTCCATACTTTTTAGATTCCTAATATACGACTGACAGTTCCTGTGCCCACCTCAAAAAGACATATGCTTGTGGTCACCGTTCTAGAACGGCTGCGATACAAAACTGACGTCCACCCGCAGGCGATATGAAGGTGAACGCCGGACCGTCGACCGGTCTGTGCTATCGGCGCCATGACGGGGCTGCCGTGGCGGCGCGCTTTCTTATCGCGCGCTTCACCGAAACTAAGTGCCTGGATCAAGCGCTGTTCTCAGCTCTGGTGCTACTCCCCGCAGAAAGCGCGAGGATAGGGGAAGGAGCCATTCAGACGCTATCGGTATACAATGTGATTTAGTAGTTTTTTGTTGTGATATGGTGCTAAACCGGAAGGCTGCGGAACGAATAAAAAAGTAACTTATACTTTCCGCTTCTCGAAAAGAAGAACACGATTTTGTTTCCTTTGTGTGATGTGTCAGCAACCGTGTCGCACTTGCGACGATGTTATATTAGCCACGTTACGAAGAGGGCATCATTATTAATCTTTTTTCGATGCTTAACACTTTGCAGTGCACGCTAAAATAATTTGTTAGAAGTTAGGGCTCTGCTGGAACGTGCATGCAAGCCCCTTCCCCATTTATTTATTTATGATTTGCGATATAGGATTCACGTTACTGCATACTGAAGGCTATCGGGGCGCGATGATTGTTTTATTCATTTTAAAGCACGTGTGCTTATGTCACATGAGCACACGTCGATCGCAAACGCCATTAAACGTAGGGCAGCTCGCAATTTCAACCATTCCTTTAATGGGATTCGGACTTCCGGTTAGGCAAAACATGAGGCAGGAATCACGTCCCCTTTTTTCTTCATTCTTGACAGTTTCGGTTGCGGGCTTCTCAATTCGATTCCCTCAGACCCTGTTCCCGGATGTTTATGACACTGCAATACTCGACAAAAGGGTTTATTCACTCACTCATTGCCTTGGGGGGGTTTCGGGATCGGGGGACTGTCATCAGCGAGGCAGGGGGAGAGTCCGCTGCCGCTGCAGCTGCTCCAAGTCCCAGCGGTAGTAGTCCACACCGCATCATGGGGACGTCGTAGTCCAGGGTCGCAGTCCGGTTTGTCCGTCGAGTCCGCCACTCAACGTCTTGCCCGCCCTTTCCCCGCGCCTGCGTCCGTCTCCCGCCAAATCCCGCGCCAGCGTCCTCTTCTCCTTGTCACGGCTGCACCATACTTCGTGTCCCGCCGTTTCAGAAAGCGTCACCGTCCAAGAGCGCTGCCGTCCAAGAGAGAGCCTTCCTTTGTCCGGCTTCCGGTTTTCAAGCCTTCGCCCCTTTTGTCTTGGGAAGCCAGTCGCGTGACGTCAGTTGGCTTAGGGGAGTGCCGTACCCGGATCTCTGGTACGCGAGGCCATGGCCGCTCCCCCGAGGGAGGCCGGGAATTAGGGTCCGGAGAGTCGGCGCGGTGGAGGGCAGCCAGATCTCCACACGGTTTGACGTCCGACAATATTTGTCAGATTTGAGCGGGGCCTTAGTATCTTAAGAAGTTTCCCTCTCCGTGAATTAAAGATTGAATCCTGTGCGGCAGACTTCCATAGAGGTGGAGCTCCAGGTCGTCGTTGTTGCGCAGGTCGTTCCACTCTCGTTGGACGGCTTCCCATAGTTCATTTGGAGATGCTCTGTGAAGCTCTTGAGTGGCCAGTTTCGACTTCATGATGCCTCAGACGTCTTCGGTGACATTGACGTCGGCGCTTTTAGGATCCCATGGCAGCTTCCGTATGCCCCGTTCAGCAAGAAGCGTCTTGGTGGAACGGGAGGTGTGGGTAGGACTCAGGTCGTGTTGAAACCAAAAGTCCCCATCGGGAAAGGGCCCATCTAGGACGTAGGGGATCAAGACGTGGTCAATTATGTCTGAGTAAACGTCCAACGTCAGGCGCCAACCGATCCTGAAGATGGAGCCAAGTCCTTGGCGGGATATGGCACCCCAGACATTCACGCACCTACGACCACTGGCGGCCACTTCCTGGATAAAGTGAGGGTCGTACCTGCAAGGCAATGGAAACGTTGTTGTCTCTTTTAGTCACCGCTAAACTTGGCTATCATTACTTCAGGTAAGGCTAATATTTGTTTGTAGTTTTCAGGTTTTAGTGGCGGGCGGGAAGCCTATGGCTGACCACTGATGATTTCTCAGAAAGTCTTGGTCACTAGTGGCCGTGGACATTGCAGGGGGAAAGATAAACCGATACAGTCTATTAGCTTAAAGGTTTGACAAAGCTCACCGGACGTTGTCAGGCCTCCAAACTCGCTTCTGCTGGTCTAACTGGGTGCAGAACGTAGACTTGTCGCTGAAGATGACGTGGGTCCAGTCCTCCACAGTCCAATTCTGAAGAGAATGGGCGGAGTCAAGCCGCAGCTGCTTGTGCCTTTCCGTCAGCAGCGGCGACTGGCAAGCTACACGGCTGTGTAGGCCAGCATCGTAGAGGCGTCTCCGAACAGTAGTGTCGCTGATCTCGAGTTCCAGAGCGTCCCTGATATCCCTGGCAGCGCGGAAAAGGTCGCCCAAGGCTGCCTCGAGAATGTGACGGTCCTCTGTTGCTGTAGTTGTGCGGAGACGGCGACGGTGGGGGGCATCGTCTAAGCGTCCCTCGTCATACCGAAATGATGCAATAATCATTTGGACGGTTTTGAATGGCCTTCCAACTCTGCGCGATATTTCCCGCCGTGAAAGTCCTTACTAAGCAAGGACAACGATCTGGACGCGCTCACCCCTTGGAATTCGAGGCGGCATTTCTGCTGAAGCACTCGAAGACGAACAGTGAACTGAAAGAAAGGTTTAATAGGCGAACTTGCGCCAAACAAAATGAGGAAAGAAAGAGCGTCGAGGCAGCAGAAAAGCAGGCGGCGATTCGGCGGCGTAACAGAGAGCGAGAGCGAGACTGACTGGGCAAGGTCGCAGACAGCCGCTTACCTACAGTGCGTCACTATATCGAAAGTTCGAGCATCGCGCGCTCGGGGCGAGGATGACCTGGCACTTTCGAGAACAAGAAAGCAGGAGGAAACTTGCGTCTGGTGCGAGAATGAACGCGAATCTTCTAGAAGCCCTTCACTGAGCGTTGCTTGCTCGGCCCGGCGGGCGGCAATATTTATTCCTGAATCACAGCCCATTTCACATTTGTTGCAGTTATTAGCGATCGCTCATAAAGGAAGAAAGCGGTTGAGTCACGTATAAACAATGCCAAACAACGTCCGCTCTAGTTCACGTGAAATGTGCAGATCATTTGCCGGCATTGACGTGGGCACGGCGACCACAAATAGCGATGCCGAGATTGAAACCCACTTCCACGCTTTCAGCAGGGAGTAGCAGCAGAGCTGAGAACAGCGCTCGATCCAGGCACTTACTCTCGGTGAAGCGCGCGATAAGAAAGCGAGCAGCCACGGCAGCCGCGTCATGGCGCTGATACCACGGACCGGTCGACGGTCCGGCGTTCACCTTCATATTGCCTGCGGGTGTACGTACAGGGCTAATCACACTTGTCTATAACGCGCGAGCGTGCGGCTTTCTCCTGGGAGCGCTAGACTGGTGGCATTCGCGGAAACTAAGCTAGTCACGTGGCGCAACATGGAACGACCCGGACGAGGGGTGCCCTGCCCACTCTGTCAGCTGGTGGCGAACGCGGAAGGCTGCTCGCACGCTTTTTACAAACATTATTGCTCGAACAATAAACACACTAAAGCATGAAAGCGTATCAACGATGTCGTCATCAAAAAACAAAAATATATCATAAAGCACTTTACTTTTATCGCTTATCAAGCTGATAGAGTGGGCAGGACAGCCCTCAAGCGGGCCGTTCCAGGTTGCGCCACGTGACTAGGTTAGTTTCCGCGAATGACACCAGTCCAGCGCTCCCCGGAGGAAGCCGCTCGCTCGCGCGTTATAGACAAGTGTGATTAGCACTGTACCTAGATCGGAAGTTGTGATATTGAACCTATTAACCAAAAACTTCAAAAACAATCAAGAAGTTACGTTGACTGTGGTGACTGGAACGCGTCTCCGACTCGTGTGTTTACTGCGTCCAAAACAGTTGTGCCTCGATTTCCGCCTGATGACGTCATTCAAGTGTCATGCTGTCGCTGGTCGCGATCCTGGCGGTGTTCCAGCAGCGGTGGTGGATGTAGCAGACGCCTGTTCTGCTGCAGGTCTCTCTCCACTGTGACAGTCCCCAGAGCATTCAGCAGCCAGACGTCGGGACGCCGCGACGACAGCGACACTCGCGTTCGCTTGTGCTTTTCGCCAGCCTTGCTACGACCAATCGCCATTATCGCGACATCCGACAGCATTACACTTCGGCTTCTGTGACGTCATTTGTTGCCATTTTGGCACCACGTTTGATGTATGGGCAGGATAGGACACTAAACACACCAGTTGGAGACCCGTTCCAGGCACCATACCTTGACTGACAAACGACGCGCTTCGACACTTCTACCCACCCGTTCGACTGCCACCATGTCTTGTTGATAGCCATAGCGACGGGGTGTCTCGGCGGTTTAGAGTTTCACACCGAAACAATTAAAAATGGCAGCTACTTCAAATTTTGTACATAATCCAACCCTTTTTTTCTGGTTGTATTACCCGATAAGTCACCCCCCTCCCTTCCCCCCAACGTTTTCAAAACATGTCTTATACGCAGAGCCCAGTATGACACCGGCCTATTATTTAAATATTTTGTCCAGGCCAACTTAAAGAAAAGGTGTTTTCAGGCGGAAACATTTTCTCCTCTGTAAAATATGTAATATTTCCTGAACACCATTTTGAAGCCGCTCAAAAGGTGCAACAACACTTCTCTCAAACACTCAGTGGGTGTATCAAAAATATTCCACGTATTGTAAAAAAAATATAGCGCTTTGGAAATGTGTATTCGGTATGAAACACCTTCCAAACACCATTAGAGGTGTTTTGAAGCTTACTGTGTAGGAAGGCGGAAGAGCTGCATCCCCACCGTTTTCACCTTGTATGTGACTATAGGAGAGACGAATGGGTATTGAACAGCGAATTCTCATGGGCGCATTATGATATCTTTGTACGCAGCACCGCCATCTGCCTCTACCTGCTGAACAAGTACGCCCCGGACTCTGAACTCTACCCGAAGGACTTGCAGAAGCGTGCGCGGGTCGACCAGATCCTGGCCACAGTGACCAGTTTTGTGCAGCCTCGCTACGCGGAATTCTACGTAAGCGAACCATGCGCATAATGCAACGCGCCCTGAAGCAATGTCTATGCATATAATCCTTAGTAAACAGCTTAAATAGTCAATCACTCTCAACTAAAGAGTTTCGAGATCCGTGACCTTGGCAGAGGAAATTAACCAGGGAGACGTTGTGCGCCTTGTATCCTGCGCATATTGTATTGTTGGGAGCCTAACCGTGTTCCGCTTCGACATATATGGACGCTTGTGAGTTCGATACGGTGAAAGCCTTTGCTGAATATTTCTCCGATGTAGTCATTGAAGCTTTCACAGGGTGTTCCTGTCATACAACTATTGGGAAACGGAAAAGAGAGAAGCACGTGGTACTGAAATATTGCAACGGACTGCTGAGAAACACTGGTAAACCGTCCGCTGCTGTTAAGCGCGAGCTCATGGCAAGCTGTCACAACGCACTACACCGCGGATTCCACACCGTGAACCCTAGAAACGTTTATCTGAGCATTACCTTGTACCGCCATGTTGAAGACAGATCATGAACGTGCTATAAAGAAAAGATCTCAGCGAACCATCATCTCACATTGGGATTTTTTATTCAGGCCACCCATAGCACATGACGGTTAGCTTAAAAGTTTTCTTACCCCGGTCCCACACCGGCTGGGGCTTGATGGAAACGGTAACTTTATAAACGTTAATGCTTTGATATGAATTTTGAGTCTATCGTATTGATGTAGCTCCGATAACAATTACCGATAAGAATATGATGCCGGCGACGTATTAGGGAGTTACCATTTCCCTTCTTCGCTCTCCACAACGAAAACGCCGCTACTGCGCGTGTGCACCACTGGCCGGCAGAGGTCTCCTTGTGGCGTTCCGGAGAGTTTTGCCAGACGGTGCCAACGATCTACGAAAACTCGCTTTTGTCATCGAAGTTATAGGAACGATATATATAAAAAAATGAAAGCCGTTTACAACTCCCTGTAACGCCGGATTAGAGCGCAGCTCTTGAGCAGGAGGATGAAAGGGTACTGAGGGATAGGTGACTCCCTGAGGTCACATGACCTCAGGGAGGGATCACGTGACCTCAAGGGGGCACGTGATCTCAGGGGTCACGTGACATCAGGGGGTCACGTGACCTCAGGGGGGACGTGACCTCAGGGGGTCACGTGACCTCGGAGCAGTCACGTGACCTTGTGGAGTCACGTGACCTCAGGGGGGGGGGGGTCACGTGGCCTCTCGGTTACGCTGACGGCAACGCCGACACCGACGGCGACGCCGGCACCGACGGCGACGCCGCTCAAGCCGGAAACGGGCGCTTTAGAGCTACGCTATAAAACTGCGTAATAAAGCTCCCAATTGACGTTCTTGGCAGACGATAATTCGGTGTTTGCGTTGAGCGTGCGCTCTGGCGACACACTGTATACTGGTGTCCAGTGGACTCTCATCACTTGGCCTTGTCGCCTTCGCAGGCTACATCTTTGAGGCTGATGAAGAAGCCCACGGCTGAGCAGGTCCAGGCTCTCGAAGAAGGTGCCCTGAAAGGAATCGAGACCCTGATCGGCGACGGCCAGTTCGCGACTGGTGATCAGCTCACATTGGCAGATCTGAGTCTGGTGGCGCATCTAAGCTTCACCATAAAGGTGGGGTACTGTCTCCGAGAGGCGTGCGCATCTTGCGAATAGCTGTTTGCATTCCGCGCATGAATCTCACTTTAGTTCGAGGTGGTGTTTACGAAGTTGCGATGTGTAGGTTCATATATATAAAATGCGCTCGATCCGTTTGGCCCACACAGTACGGAGAACTCGGAAATTAAGTATTATGTTCTACAGAAACAGCGGGAAGACAATGTACATAATATGGCGTGTGGTGTCTCAGCCGTGAATGTGTAAATTTAGCAGAGCTGTATGGCTACCACCCTGGGCTTTGAATGCACATCAGGCTATAGTGATTACAGAACCGCACACAGCTGTATTCATACCCGTTTGTTCCAAGAAGAACTGCAGCAGGGATTCAGCCAGGGGCTGTGGGTAGTGCTGCACGAGGCTTGTGCTCCGCCTCGCTCCGAGCTGCGTTCCTCTAATCCACTCGGCCACTGATCAGGGGGATCGGTGGCAGAGTGGGCTAGCGCACACCAGCTCGGAGAACGGGGAGCGAAAGGTCGCGCTGTAGAACCCAGGGATCGTGGGCTCAATCCGCACACCTGCCCGTTTAGATCCGGATGAGCAACATACCGGCGGGCTGTCGTGTATCACTACTGCGTGATGCACGTTAAAGAACCCAGACTTGCGGTTGTACCACACTGGGTAAATTGCTCATCTTCAGCTGAGAGACAAGTCTCCCGTTGAGGCAGACTAAGTTCAGGCTGTATAAACATACCCACAACCCAATTCGGCCACCGATCCCTCCCTGTAGGGTCACAGCACACGCCAACACGATGTTTACAAACAAGCTTCGTTTGCCCACACCAGGTTGCGGGCACTGCGAGCGGGAAGAAACCAGATTGCCGTGAGGTCTGCGGATGCGCAGTGCTGACAGTAGCGCCACTGCAGTAGCCTGACGTCAGAGTTGAGCTGGAGTGTATAAGAGCAAAAAAGAGCCTCAAGTCCCGTTCCCCCTTCCTCACTAACAGCAGGGTGTTTCCCTTTTTTCAGCTGCCCGTCTTCGACAGCAGCAAGTTCTCGAAGTTGGTCTCCTATTATGGGCGCGTGTCAGCACAGCTACCCTACTTCGCGGAAACGAACGAGAAGTATATTGACGCGCTCTTCCGGAAATGGGCCAACCTGAAGTGAAACTGCCAAGCTGTCGTTCGCTGAAGTACCTCAAGCTTTTGCGAGACGCAAATAAACACTCTGGTGTCAAAACAGACTTGTTTTTCTTGAAAAAAAATATATATATGACGTATTTTTAAAACCAAATCCTATTGATTATTTGTAAACCAGGAGACGTGCAACCACGCCAGCCAGTAAAAAGCTTAAAGAAAGATGTGGTTTTCTAAATTTGAAGAATCGCTAGCTATCAGATATCTGAATTTCTACACCGTCTCTAAATAAAGAACGCGAAGGCTTTGTTGTTTCCCGGCTTTCATGTTTGTGGGTTAAAAACGGGGTTGCGGTTCTGCGGTGCTTGGGTGTAGACACTTATGGAGGCCGTATTTCGCCGATTAAGTGGGATTTACCCACTCGTCACTGAATGGGCCAAATTTTCTACACAAACCTGCGTTTTAGGAATGCACCGGAGTATTGATTATTTTTGAGGATTAATTATGATGATATTATGAAGATCGTAAGGCCCTTGACTGTTCTCCTTAGAGCGCTGGAGATTTTTAATAAAATCCAGAAATACATAATAGGCTCGTGTTCTCCTTCGGTACCGCGTGAAGTAACGTGGCGTTTCGAAACGCTCGGCCTGCCTGAGGTTGCGGGATTGCTTTTTTGGAAGCTTAACGTTATCAGTCTAAAAATATCCAAGTGTCACAGACTGCTTGAACAATGAATAAAAATCGGGAATTTCCAGGTCACGGAAAATATTTGTACTGTCTGAAAAACCAGACTTGTAAGCAACACATTTTAACATAGATTTCAATACACTGTCCACTTTCGAGTGCCATTGCCCCGAACAATGTGCAAACACGGTCACCCCGTACCTCAGAAGACTGTATGCTATGGCGTGAACAAGCATTTTTTTAACATGAAAGGGCAAAAGAGCTTTAATATTGTACAATAAACAAGCTACATTTCGCAACACACGGCATAGGTGACCCAACTGCATGTTCCACGACAAATCAGATTCGAAAATGATACCCATGTATTTGGTATTGCCAACCCACTCAATGGGAATGCAGTTGCAACCTACACAGTCTGCTCCATGCAGGAGAAAGGTTTGTTTATGAAACCTTGCTTTAATGGATTTCGAAAACATATCAGATGAGTTTTCGCTGGATTAACCTTTAAGTGATTGGAAGCATACCAATCTATAGCTTTATTAGCACTTGACTGTAATATATTTAGTGCGCTGTCAAATATGATATGTCGAGAAATCAGTAAAGTATCGTCGGCGTATAGGTAACATGAACATTGGGGAACGGCAGAAGCAAGATTGTTGATATAAATGTTAAAAAACAAAGGCGATAACACGGAGCCTTGAGGGACACCCGCTCGAAGATAACAAGGGGCGCTCGTTTGAAGCCCTACTCGCATTTGCTGCGATCGACCAGATAAAAGGTCCGAGAGCCATTAAAAAAAAGGCCCGCGGAAGCCGTACTTAAACAGTTTACTCAACAGAGTAGGATGATTCACCGTTTCAAACGCCTTGGAAACGTCTAAAAACAAGACACAGGAAAACATATTATCATGAAACGCAGAGTGCAAATAATCGGCGACGTCATCTAAAAGCAATTGCATCCCCCTTCCGGGAACAAAACCATATTGCGAATCAAATAATAGTGGGGAATTGTCCAAAAAACTACTCATAATGCGAAAAATGTGTTTTTCTAAAAGGTGTTCCAAAACCGGCAATATAGGGCGATAATTTTCCATCCTCGACGGTTTGCCGCCTTTAAAAACCGGCCGCACAATAGCAGTTTTCAGCTCTTCCGGAACTGATCGCGACTTAATAAAACTGTTCATCATAAAAAGAATCGCATATCTTAAGAAGTTAAAGTTCCTTTAAAGAAAACCGACTGTGACTCCGTCAGCCCCAGAAGATCTAGGATATTTCAAACTGAATAAAATCGACCGCAAACCTTCCTCGTCCATGTCGCACAGAAAAGCCGACGCACTATTTAACTCATTCAAGGTCACCTCCTCGATGGGCCCATTTACTGCTTGCTCAGATGAAGTTGCGAAAAAGCGGTTAAAGTTTTCCGCAACCGTTGAAATATTATCTGAAAATTTTTTAACTATCATGTCATCAAGAGAGCGCCGGTATTGATGGCCTCGAAGCCCATTTAATAGAGACCAGGTTTATGCGATATTAGAACGACTTTCCGAGAACGTTTCCTTAAAATAAATTCGTTTGGCAGATCGAACAAGGGCGTTTACTCTGTTTCTAGCCGCACGAAACTCTTGTCTAAGTTTCACATTTTTAGGTGCCCGCTTACAACAGACCCACAACTTTCCTTTATCTGAGATTGCAGCCAAAATCTGAGGGCTCAACCAAACGTGCTCTGGCCTTCGCTTTCTAACCACGACTCTGCGCTGCGCCTGAGTCGTGAACAAGCATGAATTCGGAATAAACATCAGAATAAGAGAGAGACTCAAGAAAAGAGGCCCAATCATGGGACGATACCAGGTTATCGAGTATTTTTTTATCTGTAACTTGAATGGTTTTTTTATCATTGGAAACCACTGCCGGGGCGTAGGGCCAGATCATTTGGCAGCCAACAAAATAGTGGTCAGACAATTTCTCAGAGATTGCTGCTCACTTTACACTTACGTCAAGCGTTCTGACTAGAATGTGATCGATAAAGGACGACACGAGCCTACTGGCCATCAATTCCTCTTGAGTTGGAGCACTGATGGTACTTTCAATACCTACGCTAGCGAGGATGCTTAAGTAGTCACACACCTCCGACTTTTCATATTTCAGGAGATCTATATTAATGTCTCCTACTATGCAAAATAAACCTTGGCTATCAATCTCGGAAAGGGTGTCCTTAAGTTCTAGAAGAAATTGCTTTATACTCCTGGAGGGTGGTCTATAGCAAGCTAGGAGACCAAGAGAGAGGTTAGAACTCTCAAGTTTTAACAAAATAGATTCAGCGTAATTAAAAGTTACATCTTGTCTTGAAACCATGCCATTCATTTCTTGCGTAAATTACAATCCCCCTTTAATTGATAGATGACGAGGGAACCAAAAGGAATATTAACCCGACAGATTGAAAAGATTCCGCATAGCTTGTGGAATGTACGATTCCGTTAACACAAACACGTCAATACGAGAGGAGACTTTATGAACCAACACTCGAAAGTGTTCCCAGTGTTTTCTCAAACTTCTAATATTAATATGAAGAACGGCAAATGACTTAAGAGGTTTTGTGAGCAACTGCTCAAACTCATCAAAGTTCTCACACTTATTGAAAGAGACTGCCATGATCATCTAACCGTTTTTCAAGATCCTGGACATTGTTGATACGAACAATGTCCATATTCTCGGTCTTTTTTGCATAAATCTTTCCAGACCTAACCCTAACAAACTTGTAATTCATGGTCCTGCCCCTCACTCTCGCCTTCCAGAAAAGCTCTCTGGTAACTCGGGAGAGGTGTTCATTGAAAAAAAAAAAACGCCGGAAAGTACATCTGTAGGCGGGAATTCCCGTAGTCGATTGCGGTGATTCATCCACCTATCTCTGACACAGCTCGACGTGAACCTTACAAGGATAGGTGCAGTGGCTCCCTTTCTAGACGGCAGACGCTAGAGTTCAGTTACGTCAATTTGTTCAGGGGGTGGGAGCTCCAAATTTGTTGCAATCTGGTTCAAAACCAGACCAAGGTTCTCATTTTGGCTATCTGGCATACCGTGTATTTCCATAGTAGTTCTATTTACTAACGCCTGTGCATCACTTAGGTCGGTCTGCAGCTGCTGAATGGTGCGAGACTGCTCCGCAACAATGATCTTGACTTCCAACAGTTCCCCCTCAAGACGGCCGGTCTTTTCGTCATTACTCTTGAACGACGCCAACACTGCATCGTACTGGGCAGAAGAAAATTCAACTGATGCTTGGAGTTCGCCGACTTGAACCTTTAGGTCTTCCACAGCGGGTTTAAGGGCCAGCAATTCCTTGACCTTAGCCGGCAAAGGTAGCAACGTATCAACACTCGACTTAATCGACAACAACATATCAAGCTTTCGATTCACCTCATCGAAAGTCGTCGAACCGCCAGAACGACCCTTCTCGAGTCAACCTGACTACATTCCATACCCAAGCGAGAGTCCTTGTGGCGGCACGTTTTACACTTCCACGTCTCGCGTTTCGCAGGGCCCATACTTTTGGACGTGTTCTCCGCCACCCCAGCACATGATCCCAAATGGTAGGAGAATTCGCATTTGACACAAGTTAAGTATTTCCCAGTAGAAGGGAGAGACTTAGAGCATAAAAGGCAGTACATCGCAAACCCTTCAGCGCTAGACCCCCCACAACCAGCCCAAAACTTCAAACTCGGTAGCCTCACCTTCGTCGTGCCTGGAAGGGCGACCACCCGTGCGGGCTTTCCATTTCAAAACCGGGGCACTATCACTCGAGAACGGATCACTGGCTGCTCATCCGGAATAACGCCACGCAGCTCGCCACGTCGGCGAATACGGAGGCGGGCGCTTCTTGCCCGTTCTTCGCACGAGGTCCCGTGACGCTGCTGTTCCGATGTGGCTGCGACGCTTGTTGCCGGGTGGCAAACGAAAAGTTCCGATGCGGAGCACGCCTTAGATGCTCGACGCACGTCTTGCCCAGGTCAGCAGCAGAGCAGAAAAGACGAAACGGCGAAAGCCAGAGGCGGGCGTTTCTTGCCCGTTCTTCTCACGAGGTCCCGTGACGCTGCGGTTCCGATGCGGCTGCGACGCTTGTTGCCGGGTGGCAGACGAAAAGTTCCGATGCGGAGCACGCCTTAGCAGCTCGACGCACGTCTTGCCGAGGTCAGCAGCACAGCAGAAAAGACGAAACGGCGAAAGCCAGAGGCGGGCGTTTTTTGCCCGTTCTTCTCACGAGGTCCCGTGACGCTGCGGTTCCGATGTGGCTGCGACGCTTGTCGCCGGGTGGCAGACGACAAGTTCCGATGCGGAGCACGCCTTAGCAGCT